TTTTTTTTTCTCTTTTGTCCCTTTATTTGCAGAGTGGTTTTTGCCTTCGGGTTTTGTCCACTATTAACTTAATTGTAATAATTTAATAAAGTCCCCTTAATTTTCTTAATCAACAAAAATCTTTTTATTGCGTGAATATCTTCAATTTCACGTGTATCTTATTTTTTTTTCCTTTACATCATTTTCTCTAGTTTTAAGGTAACGGTCTTCGACATACTAAAGTATGTCCACCACTGGTGACATCAAACAAACATATTGGTTATATTTACAAGGTATCAGCGTATTATAGTCTACAACAACACTTTATATTTTAGTATATGTTTATATATATAATTTTTTTATTCACTTTGTTTCATCAAAGTGCATATTATTGGTTTTCTTATTATTTTTTTTAAATTTTTTTCTATTAAATCCACTTATGGTCCAGGTGCCATGGCAAAGGACTCCCAATGTAGATCCCATACAGTCAGACGTGGTTTAATATGCACTAATTACACTTATATGTTATTCCATATCATAATTCTACTTCATCCTAATTAATTTTACATCATTCTATGTCATTCTCTTTCATTATCGTATTCATTTGTTCTAATATTAAGAATTAACGTAGTATTGTATTATTTACTATTCAAACACATAATATATTTACATATTTATTGAAAAGTGAGTGTTTTCATTTTATTTATTAAGTTTAATTCCTTTACCACGTAGGTTCGCACAACAAAATTTAATTAATAATATTAAACAAACGGTATCATAGTGGGATCGCAATATAGAATGGACAAGTATAGAAGATATCTGACAGTGATTAAAATAACTATCATAAAAAACGCTACAAAGAAAATCTGTAGATAGTCTTTAATTTTTAGAAATTTGTTAATATTTTAAAAGCAAAATTAACTCCTATTTCTATAATAATTATAATTATAAGTATCATTTACGAATAAATATCTATTATAGCAATTCAACGTAGTATGCAATTGATATTTAATAATTTAGTATTGTAATTTTTTCAGAGAATTTATAAAATATTATAAAGTAGCTATTAATTTTATGGCAAATATGTATCAAAATCAAAGGACTTGACACAGAACTTTTTAGATAATAATTTGTTGTTAATTATGAATAAACGGTCTGCAAAAAATTCCATCAGAGTAAAAAAGACACTTTTATAATTCAATTTTTGTAATAATTTCAAATCAACTATTATATGTTTTCCATAGTCAATAATTTTTGATATTATTACTAATTAGTTAAAAACTATAGGATATAAGTATAAGGTAAATAGTTCAGAATATTTCAATTATATCATCTTTTTAAACATCAAGAATTAAATAGAAATTATTAATATTTATTTTAAAATGATTTATTACAATAAAAAAATAATTAAAAACATTATTTATTATAAAATTATATTTTTGCATTTTTACTGTAATAGATCACTTAAATAGAAATCATATTAATCATTTCTTTGTAATTTTCGATGATTAAAAATATTCTGTCATTGAAATATTCAGAACATAATTAATTTTAATCATTTATTTTAACTAAAAAACCCAATCAAAATTTTGTTAAAAAAAAATTACTCAATAAATTGTATTACTTGTTATCANATTTATTTTAACTAAAAAACCCAATCAAAATTTTGTTAAAAAAAAATTACTCAATAAATTGTATTACTTGTGATCATTTGATGTATCGTTAAAAAAAATTGTCAAGTGAAAGCTGAGAAAATAAATAAGAGCCATAAAAAAAACTTTAATAAAAATAAAACACTTCGATGCAAATCTTTAGATAGTGTTTAATTTAAAAAAATTGGTGGATTATTCCAAATGCTACATGATCTGCTAGTCCCTTATTAATATCTTGCTTAAGATAAAGTATGTCAAATGAAAAAGGGATTATTAAAAAATATTATTTCTCATAAAAAAATGATGTTGATCCATACATTTTTTAAAAAGTTATAGCATTTGAAAGTAAAAAATGTAAAATATAAAATCGAGAATTTTCACACAAAAATAGCATTTGGTGGCCTTTTTCACCATGACGACAAGTCCAGAAGTCAAATTTTTTTTTTCAAATTAAAGTATTTTACATTAGCTTTAATTTAAGATATATATAAAAATGTCAGACCTTCCGAAACATTTTCAAATGTCAAGCTGAAAAAGTTAATTTTTTGTGAAAAAGTTGTCATTTTAAACCCCCCCCTGTGGGCAGGGTAAGTGTCAGATTAACAAAAAAAATATACCAAATGATAAGTAAAGACATCAAGCATCTATATAAAAAAAAATTATATTGTGATATGTTCATTTTTTCAAAAATTAAGTTGAAATATTTCTACTTTCTATATGCATTTTTGACACGTAACCTACCCAAATTTACAAAAAAAACATATCAAATAATAGGTAAATATATCATGCATCTATATAAAAAAAAATTATATTGATATGTTCATTTTTGAAAAAGTTACGGCAGTTTTTAGTAAAAAAAATTGAAAAAATTTCGAAAATTAGCCATTTTTAAATTTGTAATTTTTTTGGAGGTTTCCCCCATTTACGGGGAGCAAGGGAATTTTTTTCAATTCNAAATTTGTAATTTTTTTGGAGGTTTCCCCCATTTACGGGGAACGAGGGAATTTTTTTCAATTTTTAAGGGTAATGTCTTCGACTAGATACGATTTGTGATCTTTTGACGTATCATTGAAAGAAATCGGTTCGGTGAGAGCTGAGAAAAAGTGGTAACAGACACAAAAAAAAAAAAAATAAACACATCTTAGTAAAACCAATACCTTCTCAGCTTCGCATCGAAGCTAAAACATTATTTAAAATTAATCTCAGTTTCGAATCGAAGTTAAAAATTATGAAAAATTGTTTTCTTTGTTTATTATTACTTACATTATATTGTTCACAAACTATATTTTTGCGATACTTTAAAGTTTTTATCTTATGCCTTGTAATTGTTGTAATATTGTTAAATGGGTACACATATTTTGAATATAATAAAATGTTTAAAGATTTTATTTAATAGTAAATAAATTTTTAAAATGGCTTCAACCGTTTATTAGATATAATAAGGTTTCAAATTTGTCAGTTAAAATACAAGAATAACGGTTACGAATTCGCAGCGTTTATTGTCAATTATGATATTATTCACTGATTTGCTTTAAATATGACAGTTTATTTGGCACAATGTTGTGAGTTAATTTAAATACATCAACAGTCAGATCTGTTTATCTGTTTATCAGAAATTATCTGATTATTATAAATTATAGTAATATAATTACTAAAATATTCACTTTTTAATAAAATTAAAAGTGTGATCTAAATATAATTATACCAAATTACTATTTCTAACTCTGAATAATTTTCAGCTGGCTCTCCAAAAGAATTTGAAAAAGTATTCATTGAAGAAGCCTATAAACTCGAAAATTGTGAAGATTGCGGCAATCCTTTAATAAAGAGTATTAAAAGTATAACTGGAGAATATTTTACAGATGGCTACTTAGAACGCCTTGTATTTTTAAGATTTTATTAAACTGAATTACCCAAAACTACCAGTTGGTATACTATTGAAACATGTGATTGGTAACTCGAAAAATATTAAAGTAATCCAGAAAAAGACACAAAAAAAAAATAAATAATAAAATCATAGTTAAATTAATCTTCTTAGATTCGCATTGCAGCTAAAAAGTAACAAGTGTTTCTTTGAAACTATTAAGTATAATTGTTTGAGCAACTCGTTATTTAAATAATAAAAAAGAGTGGACTGTATTTCTAGATATTAATTTATTATAATGAAAAATTATTTATAGTAACAATTATTACGTCGCGAATCGGTCCGGCAATGTTACCGGCGTGGCGTATAACGAGCAACTAACTCGATCCCACCATTATCACAAACGATCATCGTATACTGAACAATAATTAATGATAAATTTTAACAAGATTTATCTATTGAATTAAATCCATCGAAACCAACAGTCAAAAAAAATTATTGTAGTTTTTCCTACGATTTTCTGTATATTATACTCATTATATGTCACATTTATAAAATGTAACTCATAAATTTTAATACACGTTTTTATTGCCGTTTAAGCTTTGTACACATGAAGACACAAGCGCAGTCATTATAAATATTTATCTCATTTTAAAATGGTTTTTTTTAAAATCTTTATACATTTATTTGTACAAGTTTTATTGACTTGTAATATTTTCACAAAAATATAATACAATTTTTGATCAAAAAATTTTAGTGAACATATAAATGACCAAATTGTTTAGAAATTGCGCAAACTAGTTTAAAGTATTAGCTTTTATTACATCTTAGAATAATAGTTCACTCTTAATCAGTGAAATAACTTATAAATAAAAATGGTGAGAATTTAAAAAAATACTTAGATATATGAAAATATTTTATATTATAATATTATTAAAAATATAAGAATGCTAATTTCATTCCAAATTTATAATCTATACATTTAAAAATAAAATCCTACAATAATTGTTATATTTTTAGAGTTTGCTGAATCAATTGATTTTTTTTATTAGTTTTTGTTTAGCTTTTCAAGGTAATAACTTAAATATTTTTTTAATAACTAAAGAACTACTTAATAGCATAATACAAAATATAACTGCTAATTAAAGATTAAATTTTTGAACTACATATATGAAATTATGATAACACTTTATTTGATATAATTTTTACGTTTTCAATAATTTTAGTGAATAAGTCAGTAGCATTAATATAAAATAACTATAAAAATTGTTTAAATCAATTTATACATTATAGAGAGTCTCAAATTGGCACAAGATCTTAATCCTACATGTGTTGTTTGACAATATACATCATATGAGATAGAAGGTGGCAAATTTAAAGTTTTGGTTATTTCCATAACATTTTGAATTTTATAATTTTCAGTTTAATTGTATTTACTGCATTATTCTATATAAATATATGTCTTATCTTAAGACGTTATATTTAAGATTTAAGGTTGAGAAGAGAAAAAAACTTGTTTAGTATAGAACAATGGAATCGAGTTAATGCATAATACTTAAACATCGAGGCACTAGATATTAACAACTGATCTAAGTACATCTCTTATAAATACATTTTCATATATTCAATATTTTTTTTTTAGTCATGGCACTTATAAATTTGGAAGCCTTGTTTCGTGAATGTAAGAATATTTGATAAGAATAATATTAATGATATAAACTGTTCATACATAACAATTTTTTACATAATTTCAGTTAACACCTATCAATAATAAACGAAAATAGGAAACTAACACTATAAGATATTAAAAATTTTAATATTAATACATTTTTATACTTAGTACATTACAATTAATTAATTGATTTATATCAAGTGTACTCAAATTCTAAGTACACATTTTTCGTAACAAATTTCATTAATAATTAATATCAAACAATAATTATTATTGTTTGATATTTTTCAATTCAGCATTGTATAATAGGTTGTTTCTTTTTGTTCTAAATTAGGTATTTTAATTTAATTTTCTATATTATCTAATCTTTGTATTGGAAAAATAAATATAACCACTATTAGTTAACCCTATTAATAATAATACTAATAATAATTATAATTAATAAAATATTTGGGATTAGGCGATTATGACTTATGTGAAATTTGTCATCTATTGAAACCAGAAATAATTTTAAAACCTTGTTTACACCGAGTGTGTGTAACTTGTGCTTTTGAAGCGAAAAATATATGTACGATCCCATCATGCAAAAAATGGACAAATAATTTCGAAAGTTTTAGTACGTATTTTACTTAACTTTAGAGTATAGAAAGTTATTTATTAAGCATACTACCTTCGATTTTTTTTATGAAATATTGATTTTTTTTTTAGTTAAAAATATAAATTAAAATTCTAGATTTATTTGTATGCAAAATTTTTAAATATGTTAATTATATATTTTTTTTACAGATGATAACGGCTTATGTTACTCTTGCAAAGAAGAAGCATCTACAGTAACAACGTTTCCTTGTTTTCATAAAGTTGGCAATATTTGTGCTAATGAATCATACTCACCTTTTCATAGATGTCCACAATGTGGCATCAAAGCTAGTTATTTTTTTAAATTAGGTATGGAATAAATTTTTCATTTTTTTTCATTATGGTATGGACGGGTCAAAGTGATCAATAGTATATTATTAAAATCTGACCGTGAATAATATCTCATGAAAAACAAATCAAAACTTATGTTTAGCTTGTATTTCATTTTTAATAAAATGTTTTGAATTGTGCCATTATATTACAAATCTATACTCTTAGTCATATACAGAGTGATTTTATATCATAACACTCTCAGTGCAAAAATAATTTTTTTTTGTAACTTTCATCTACATAGTGTTCTCTAATTATTAGCTAATAAATACCCTTTATATTTGTCCCTTATGCCTTGTGTTACAGCTCAAACGAGTTATGTGCTGCGCTCTATGCTTAAAACCGGCACCTAAATATTAGTCCGATTCACATGGCCGGATTACACTCGTTTCCTCCACTTTCTTCTGTATATATATTGATTGTTAATTATACATTTGTTATAAGTTGAGTTAGATTTATTGATTATATAGTTTTAAGTGAGTTAATTAAGGTGTTGTTGCAGTTGGCCAGTGGACACACATTTTAACAGTATTGCGAGTTATTAAATTTAGCAAGTTTGTTTAGTTTACGTTTTTATATATTCTTATTAGTCATTTCTCTTATTATTGAGCCATACATATCTATTATTGAAAAATTAATAATTTATTTTTATCAAAGAGTAATAAATATTATTGCAGTTAAATAATATTTATTTATAATTTTCTTTATTCATACATTTCTGTGATAACTACTAATATAGTCATTTTTTTATTCATAGTTTAAGTTACCTCTTTTATCTGTTTCACATACCCTCTTGTTTCCTGTAGACAACCTCTCCGGCTTCAAGTGTGTGAACAGACAATCTTACTCAAGTATACAGTCCACTTATTCCCTATTTAGAATTTACAGGTGTCAGGGTAAGCGTCATAGGATTTCCCCTCTATTTGCAAGTAACTTTCACACGGTATGGTAAATTTTTCTTTGCTGCACAATTCAATGCGAATCTTATCATTGTTTCCGTACGAGTTGTTGTATCTTTGGGGTTCCTGGTAATATTCCAGTTTCATGTTATCATCTACAGGAGACTTTTCCAAAACATTTATATATTCTGTCGTTATTGACGATACGATAGTCCAGTGATTTTAGATATGCGATATTATCTTTTGTAAGTTTCCTTGACGTCACATGGTTTGCTCGATTCGTAGTCCAAGACCGTTTGATGTAACCACCACCGTAACGTATCAAATTAAGCTTCTCTGATAATGATGATATGGTCATACGATTGTTGTTAAAAATCAACGACATGTTACAACCATTCGATTTCCAGTGTGTTCAGAAAGTGAGTGATGTAGCTATTTATCTCTAATGTACAAACGTACGGATAATTCTTCGTCTTTAAGATTTATATTGTTACCTTCCTGATTACATAGAACAATTCGTACTGTATCCAACACATTTGTGTTCAATGGGTAGTAAACAATTTGCCTGAGAACTTCTATAATGTGGTAGCCTGATGGCACGCTGGGAGAAAACTCATGTAAGGTGTGTGGTTGTTTTCCACTGTGGTACAAACCCACAATAATATTGCAATCCACATAAATAGACGTAATAGGTGTTATTGACACTGGATTATCCGATACGTGAGGCTAATGAAGATTCCAAATACAAAGGATTGAAACCCAATAAACGGTAATATGATCTGTCATGTGAGAAATTGTTGAGATATTGACACATTATTTAACAATGCATCGTCACGTGGTTCACTTCGATTTTGAACAACGAAGTCACTTTTCTATCTTAATCCTTTTCGACAATTGTATATTCAAAGGAAATTTTCTCGTACTGACTGGCATATATTTGATTAAGTCATTCAATTCTTACGTACTAACGGGCAGTATTACTTTCAGCAAGGGTTCTTGACCGGGCAATCCAAAAACGTTTATATTGTTAATATCGTCATTGTTTGGCATTATGTATCAAGTGTGTAAGCTCAACAGCCCAATTTCACAATTATAGTCAATATCAATGTATGTATCATCTGCGTTGCCAACCAGCAGGATTGCATAATTTTTATAAATTTTTGTAGTTTGATTACAACCTCACCGTGTTTCACAGCCATTTTTAATTCACGGCAGTGCACGATGTAACCACGTTTTGGTTGTAACGTGGTGATCAACTTGCTGTGTTTCGAAGGCGACAACGGTGATCTCTCATTTACCGAAAAAAAGGGTTAATCATTGTCTCAATAGTGCAATTCATATGAATAATGTGCATCAATTTCCACGGAGTATCCGTAATCACCGTCGTTGCGGGTGTTCAGTACTTCTTCCAGCGTTGCCGTCGACTACTCAAAATATCCAAACGGAATAGTTTCCATCATGGATGTAAAAAAGAAAAGGAAATTTCAATATTTTTTTATATAAATAAAGTTACATTATATAAACATACCTGTCCTGTACAAATTAGTAGCGTCCAAATACGGAAGGCAAATTGGGGTTGTAGTCGGGGACATCTGGATGGTTTTCTCGAGCATACCGCTGATTAATTTGTGTTAAACCTCCACATGTACCCATTTCAAACATCAACAACATATCCGGATCCGTCAATAGTTCAATGTATGTGTCGTCGTACTTCAACATTGCGTCGAACGATAATGCCGAACACGAAAAATAATGTGAAGGAACGAGTTTGTAATTTGTCAGACTTTCCTTTCAAAAATTTTCAAACACACCGGCCAGTATCTAAAACAACAACAAAGTTATTACATACGATTCAGATATAAATAAAAATATATATTCAATATAACAGTTGACGTACTCGTAAAAACAAATTTTCGAGTAACCAACTCCATCGATTCAAACACTTTGTGTGTATGCACGAAATCCGGTGTCAACAATGTAGCGGTCAGCTTAGATAACTCACTTGTATAAAACCGGTAGGAATCTATGAACTGGATACGAAAATATTCATTCATGGTCTTACTGACCATGATGTACTTTTCTTCGGACTATGCAATGATATATATGTCTTTATCGTCGTATGCGCAACTTTGGGAAAATCATATGCGAATTCTAGTTGGACAGACCGCGTATGATGACCGGCATAAAGGTCGGTGGACGTCGTTGTAGATTGCATTTGTTACACAAAATGGAACGAAACCGAGTCGTCTAGTGATTATGATCCTTGACTTTTTTTTTACTTTATCTGTGAACCTAATTGAACACAACTCACAATTTTTCGTTGTGTCGAATCGATGATGAGTTAGTGGCGTCATATCTATGTTCACTTTCATTATGTCCTATAATATTTTACCAATGGTTACCAACGTCGTGATAAAGTATTTGGCCGTATCCGGTCCCCTTTAAAGTACCTGTTCGTTTGGTAGTCCATCGCAGATATTATTTGGCAACACCTTGAAATCGCGTACCACATAGAAACAATAACACATAGCCTGGTGATTTTATGTATCCGTACAGTACTTGACTCGGTGCGAACCAACAAACTCTCCGTGTCTACTTACACAACCACTTGAATCGGCTTCTCTCGCCTTGTGTTTTTGAACCGCAGAACCGACTATTCATAGTCGGGTGTGGGAAGGACGGCTCGTGCTTCCTTGAACTTTCCGTATATTTTATGGTGCTCATCCACTCTCACTTGTCCGCTCGGTTGAGTCTTTAACGAACGATCGGTAAATACGTTTAATCAATGTTTACAATACTCGTGTACAGTACTCGTGTCGTTTGCCATTGGTTCTCTGTTTTGACACGAATTTGAAAATTTTGATATACAATAATAGTGGCCGTTTCCCGGCTCGACAACGTCAAGTAAATCAACATGATGAGTGCTCGTACGTGATTTAGTGATACGCAATGGATACACGTTATTTTTATCATTCAACGGGAACACATTGACCGACATTGACGGGTTATTACATTCAAATCGAATAATTTGTTTCGATGATGTAGGAATCAATGTCATCAAAACGCATATTTGTGGATTTTTCCAGATCAATGTAACCTGCATTCTATGTTTTTTATTCTTGTTTATTTACATAAAATTGCCCATTTAAAACACTGCTGTTCGACGTTTCTTATGTTTATGATCGCAAATTTTCGTTTGATACACTGTGAAAATTCAATGTACGAGCCACCAATTAACGGTGAAATTTTTGTGACTCTCAACAGCAGACCGTCTATGAATAATAGTGACCACCCGCTACCTTGGGTCTATATTTCCCGTTTTTCGTACAAAAGATTCTCCGTGATTCCATCCAAAACGCCGGCATATACGGTACCTAAATCGACAGTATTATTATTTTAAACGACACGTCTCTCACTTTACCCGTAACTTGGCGTATTTATGTTGTGTGCAGTACAATAGTGAACTTTATTACATCGTGCTTGGTAACATCATTTATTACGATGGTTAAATCGTCACTTACGTATTGAATAAAATCGTCAATAGTCGTTTCATTTTTAAACAAATAATATATCACTCGACCGCGTAGTGCAGATTCTATAGGACAAAGCCGGTCCTTCCAACGTGCATGCACGCGCGTTTGGTCTCCCTACCCACAATCACTGTCAAACATCGTTCCCCTGAAATACATTTTGACGGTGACGCTGATTTATACTACAATGAACATATATACTATTACTATCGACAAATGCAGACCCACAATCGCATTCGAATGACATGATAACAACTATTGAAAAATTAATACATTAGTTAAACGTGTGAGTGGACACCTCTATCATAAACTATTCAGTTCAATGTACTTTTACTATTTGAGTAAACACGACTGGATTGTTAACGGACTATATTATAAATGGTGTAGAAATTTAACTTGAATACAATAATAAGATTTTCTTTTCTTAAAATCTACTTTAAAGTAAGGTTATTGTGATTTTTCCTTTTACATTTTCCACAAATTTGAAAAACTATTTGATATAATGTATAATTTTCCTTTGTTATAAACTACTATTACGTTCTGTACTATCGGAATAATAATATAAACACAAATAGATTTTTAACAAATTATTGAATTTTAATTCATATTTTGTTGTACATATAAATCAGTGTAAAATATATATATAAATAGATCATTGTAAAAAAAAGTTAATAAATTAAAAGAATTTTAATGAAAGTCAAATAAATATGCATTTCCCGTCTTTATTCTATAACAAAGTGACATTTTGGTGTTGCCGTCGTACGTTTTAATTTCATCGTCCGTCAACTGTATTCTGAGGAAAAAAACTTGTCGGATTTCGGGCAACTGTGCCACAATAACGCTTCTCGTTGTCAAATTTTTCATTGAAACCACTCGATAGGCATTATTCTCTACCAAATCAGACATTTTAATGTACTCCATGCCTTTGGTTAGATTATTCATTTTTTGTTTCAATTGTTCCATTTTCTACAAAACAAAATTATTCGTGAGTTAATCATATATGGTTAAGGTCATATTAATGGCGTACAACACGACACTGATATATACATTTTTAACAATAACTACTATCATCAGCCACAACATGACGGAGGAGGATACCGCGTAATACAAATTTCTTGAAATTGCACAAAACTCAAAAATGGTTGCAGTTAGTGCTCTAAATTTTTTTTTCGTCACCTCCTACACCTCCATCTGTTTACCACGAAATCATTAATTTGACATTTATATCGGTACCCTCTTATAGCATACTACCCCACTCCTCTCTCTACTTGTATATGTTTAATCACTGGGCTACAATATAGCCGATGCACTTCTTTAGCTATGTGTACACCTCTAACAACTTATAAACTAAGTTTTTTTTTTTTAATAATACAGTTGTTTTCAAACTATTCGTCGCTATATATTGTAGACACATGCATTTTTACAAAAGACGATATTTTTTAACCTTTGCAACATAATAAATACTAACCAATTCAACATAACACTCCAGATCTTTCCATGTATTCAACAAGGTGTTCTACATTATTTTCACTCTTTGGTAATTTCATTTCGAATGACTAAAATTATTGTCAACTTATAAGTACAATTTAAACTGAAAAGTGATGTCTAGATAGTAACTTACTTTGATTAAATACACGAAAACAGATACACTTGAAAGAGATACTGGAACGGTTTTTTGAATATATTTAATAACCTAAAAATTCGTATTTGTATTACCTAAAATATTATAATTTTAGTTTTAAACATGCATTAGTTGTGCGGACTACAATTTTGTCATAAAAAATGTTTAAAACGATCATATAAAAATATATATCTACTTTATTTATTCGGTGAATCCAAAAGTATGGGCAACCATTATAAGCACTAACATAATTTTATCCCTTCAATGCAACACGTACCATATATATATTTTCCATTTATTTCGAGTTATAGTAATTTTATTTATGAAAAAACTTTTAGAAATTTAACAGTATTATCGATTGTTAAAAATAAATAAATGCATTAAAGGGTGAAAACAATATACAATTTAAAAATTTTACTTACAATTAAATAGCTGCTGAAAGTTCACAGGAATAGACCTAAAACACAATATATTTTTCATTTTCTAAAAAAATACCTTAGGTATTTTATTTTCAATTAGTGTAACTGTTTTGGGAATCTGTCCTACTTGCCTTGGGGAATTCAAAATACCAATATAAGAAGTATTAATTTTGCACAAAAAGTTATCTTTTCAACTTTTGAAAATATTTCAAAAATATTGTGAACTTTAAACATATTAAAATTAAAGCGTATGCTATTTTCTATAAGTTAAAAAAATATTCTGATACCTAATTATTTATGTTTCAATGGACCCAAAAAATGTTATTTTTAAATAACATTCTTTATGTAACTCGGCGAGTAATTGTTTGAGTAGTCGCTTCATACAAATAAAGTNTAAAAAAATATTCTGATACCTAATTATTTATGTTTCAATGGACCCAAAAAATGTTATTTTTAGTAAGACTGAAAAATGATTGCCAAAACTGCAGTGACGAACTTGCTGTGAAAAAAATGAAGCATTGTAACCATTTTATTGGACAGATTTGTATAAATAGAAACAAAACTAATAAGTGTCCAGTAAAAAATTGTAATCATATTCAAGATCATTCTTCGGAAAATGGTAAGCTTTCAATTATTTAATTTACTCAAGTTTACCTCTACTATAGTTTTAAGAAAAAATATACAATAATAATTATTACAAACATGGAGCATCTATTTTTAATATGCATATAATAACAATACGTTTGTTAATATAATGTAGATTTTGAATACGACATAATGATGGATGATATAAATTTATCTAGAAATGTTTAAAATAATCATATAATTTCTTTTTAACCTTAGTATCGATGAAACCTAGAATAATGTGGTTTGGCATATGGGATATATACAAATACCTGACAACAAAATTACTATCATAAAACGCTTCAATGAGATTGTCATCATTGCTTTAGCTTGAATTTAATAAAAGTATATAAAACAACCCAGTACATGAAAGTTATGCAATAGTTGGGACAAGTAAAAATGATAATTGACAGTAATTAACATCACGATCATAAAAAAAGGCTTCGATACGAAGCGTTAATTTTATAAGATAAAGTATATGAGCTCATAAACATAAACTAATCTAATAATTTAAATTATAAAAAGAATCCACTTAAAACTTTCAAACATAATATTGTCAAGAAAAAGTGTCACGCAATTTGCAAAATTTTTATATAATTCTTAGACTGTATATGTTAGATTCTATCATTTTTGAAAACAAAATTCATTGGTGAACTAGCACTTATCTGTAATTTGACCAATGTCCAATAATAGTCATTGGATTATTAGTTTTAATTAAAATATAATTCTAATTTAATATTTTGTATTAGACAGTGAACAAACATGCTGTATTTGTCGATTAGAAAAAACATTGAGTGTAACATTAAGTCCATGCTATCATAAAATATGCAATGATTGTGCTAATGAGCTATCACTCCAAAAAAATTATATATGTCCACTATGCAGAGAACCAATAAAACGTTTTAAAAACATAGGTAATTATTTAAAAAAAATATCATTTATCTTTACAAAATAACAATAACTTTGGTTTTAAAATTAAAATTACATTATTAATTTAAAACTAAAAAATAATAAACTCAAAATGAATTAAACTTGAATTATCATCTAAATGAAAAAGAATAACGTTAGTCCGATTTCAATAAACTTTATCAATAACTTGATAAAAAGGGTGATTGAAATGTAGTAAGACACTATTTTTCTTAGAAACTATTGAGAGATTTTCATTGTTGTAAAAAAAAAAATCAGGTTCAAAAAACTAGAATATATAGTAGTTAAACCTCTAATGGTGGAAGCGACGGTCTTTGTATTTTAATCATTTTTAAGATATAATTTCCATTTTTTTTTAAATATTTATAATTTTTTTTTAAGGGACCACCAGAAAAAATAGTTCATAAATTTATGTTATTGGATAATATAGTATATCAATTAATAGAAAATGGTATAAGAATTGGAAAAATAAAATTTGAGAAAATATAATAGTGATTTGGATATTTTGAAAATAGAAATATATTCTCTTTTAAAAAATCATAAATGTAAATTTAATGATTATGGAATTATAAAATATGTAGGTCACCAAAGTTTAATGATATATCCAATCCATAATTAGCGTAGACTAATGAATAATAAGACTAATATATGTAGAAACAACAAATTAAGTACAAATTTAAGAAATAATGTTAATAAGAACAATAACAATAAAAATTATAGAAGACATTTGTATAGATTTAACAATATGAATAGGTATTTTTAATATTATAATCATGCGTTAACTACAATTTCTGACGAAAATCAACTAATCATAAAAGAATAAAAATCAATGTAATTTAGAGCGATATACTGTTTATATCGCTAAAGATATTTAAGTATTATTATATTAACTAAATAAATATGATTTTAGAGTTTACTTTAACCTTATATATAACATTTAGAGTTAATAGAAAGATGTGCATGCAAAGAAGAACTTCGACACGTTGTACTAAAACCTTGCCTTCACAGAATAGGTATAATCTGTGCTGATTATATTAGTAATAAAAGTGAATATCATCCAAAGTGTCCAATATGCCGCGTAAAAGTTGAAGAATTCTGTCACGATGGTTTGTACTTATTATAAAATATAATGGGTTTGTGTAAAAATGGCCCATGCAATACCATAATGAATTTAAAATATACTATAATTTTTCTTTCCAAAAGTTCACAGTATTCTACCATATAAAGTTTAATAAAAAAATTGGCATTATTTTAGTAATTAGGGGAATGCTAAAGATCTTTCCCCTTAAAATTGCACCACATTCATTTTTAATTAGAAACGTATATGTTTAACATACGTATAAACATAAAAATGATTCAACTGATTCAGTCGCATTATTAGATGTCTTAAGACTTGAGTCATGACGATAAAGAAATTACAACATAATTTTAATTGTATCAAAAGTCATAAGAACTGCTAGTTAGATCTGATACATCTTGTATGATTACATTTAAAAAATAAAAGCTGACATTATTTTAAGATGCTTGGAGAGGGTTTAAGGCCAAATTTTTATTTGAAAATTATAAAACTTAGAATACTAATAACTTATGAAAACAAAAAATTATTGTATGTTATATACTTTGAAACTTATTTCACGAGTCACCTTATATATGTTATTATAATTATAATGTTAATAAATATAATACATATATATTAGAATGATCAATGATTTTAATACAAAATAAAATTATGTAACTGAACTTTTTTATTATTTCTTATTTATAAAATTTTGATTACATACAATTACAAATAAAAATAGAAATAGAAAATAATTCCTTGCACTATTTTTGCAAAAAATTATTATCAATATGTAATGCAATGACATAGTCCGTTCTGAATGGGTTGAGTTTAAAATGTGAATTTCAATAAAAATGAACATATAAAAGGCAACTCTGTTCAATTATTTAATTGATAATTTACTATTTAATAATTGTATATCTCTTTTTTAGAACCACTCATAAGAAATGCATTAAATCCATCAAATTTAAGGCGTATGAAAAATGTAACGTCACATTTTTTGAGTGTATACAATTTATTAGGTTTTTCTAGAATTGAATACTAGTAAAATAAAGAAGGTGTATTGACAAGAAGAAAATTATTCAGGATTTTTTTCTTGAACAATGTACATTGTAAAATTTATAAAGTTTAGTATAATTATAAACATATATTATAATTATGATATTAATGAATAAACATTTTTATGAAATATTTATATTTTCAGTGTTTATTTAAAAAATAATAGAGTAATCCTAATTTTAATTTTTATGAAAGAGTAATTTATTTAATTAAGAATTACGGTATACTCTCTTATATTTGTTTTTAACATTTAAGCAACAAATTCAATTACAAAAAATTACATAGATATCTCTTATATTTGTTTTTAACATTTAAGCAACAAATTCAATTACAAAAAATTACATAGAAATTATTAATATTTCTTTTAAAATGATTTATTACAATAAAAGAATAATTTTTTGGTATTTTAAAGTTGATTTATTGAAAGTTTATAATAAAAAAATTTGAATTTGCTTACATAACTTTAAGCTCAACTTCAAGTTTGAAATTTACGTTATTAAATAGAAAATTTTAGGAGAATAAAATAATAATATTGTTAAGATTAATATGTAGTCAGGTAGTTGTATAATTACTATTTACTATAAATTTATCAGAAATGTCACTATATTTTTACATTTTCATTGTAATAGATCACTTAAATAGAAATCATATTAATAATTTCTAGGTAATTTTCGATGATTAAAAATATTTAGTCATTGAAATATTTAGAACATAATTAATTTTAATCATTTACTTTAACTAAAAAGCCCAAACAAAATTGTTTTAAAAAAATTACTGAATTGAGTGTATTACTTGTGATTATTTGATGTACCGTTAAAAAAAGTCGGTCAAGTAAGAGTTGAGAAAATATATAAGAGTCATAAAAAAAAAAACACATAGTAAAAAAACTTTAATATGAATAAGAAATTTCTTCAAACGAGGTGTAATAAATAAAAATTAATCGCAGAGGTTATTGGTATGTGATATGTACATTAAAATATAAAGGGGAAAGAATGGTGTGGTATCTCGGGGTCGAATTAAATATATTTATCAAATAATAAAATATCCCTACCTCACTTATTATTATTCTTGTTTATTACGTGAATTTTTAAGAAGTAAAGCTAGCAAATAAATATTTGCACTTACCTTTATTTCCTATCGTAGTTGACTGAGTTAATCTTATGGTGATTTCTTCGATTTTGTATTTTACATTTTTAACTTTATTATGGTATAACTTTTTGAAAAATGTATGGATCAATACAATTTTTTCATGAGAAGTAGTATTTATACACATCTTTCATTCGACATACTGTTTTTTTAAATCTATTTCCCTGTATACGTGGGGGGTGGTTCAAATCTAAAAAGGGTCAACTAACTTGTAATAATATAGACTTGTAAATAAGGAAAAACTTAGTAAAAACCTACGTCTAGAAGGTGGCAGTGTTTATGGTAGTGAGACGTGGACAATAAAAAAGGCTGAAGAAAAGAAAATACTTTCACTCGAAGTGCTATAGGAGAATTCTTAAAATAAGATAGGTAGATCGCATAACAAATAAGGAAGTTTTTTGAAGAGCAGGAAATGAAAAAAGTTCCCTAAAAGATTTAAGATTAGAAGAGGTAAACTAATCGGACATACACTTCGACATAACAATGTACTAGGTAGAATAGTCGAGGAAGACCACCACTCGAATACATAAGTCAAATAAATATGGGATGTGAAACATACTACGAATTAATGCGTAAAACAAAGAAGCGGGAAGAATGGAGGAATGCTGCCAACCAGCCCATGGGTTGTTAACAGAAAAAAAAATATTGTCTTTATAGTGATAATGACTGCCGTATTCAAAAATATGCTATTTTTTTAAACAATTTCTTGGTATTATATTTTACATTTTGACAAGGCGTTGTCACCCGTGGTCGTTCCAGCTCGTTCTCAGCTACCGCTCCACTGTAATCCGGACCGTTACATACACGCGTTATCGTCTGGTGTTAAGTCCAACAAATGCCAGCGTCGAACACCCGCCACAATAATACGTTGATCAGTCATCCGCGTGACACTTTCACGTTTCTTTTTGCATTCGGCCTACTACAAATATTATTATTTTTGTAATACTGTTTCACTACCATTAGAATAATTATTTTTGTGATATTTTTTTAGTGCCATTAGTAATCTTATTTTGTTTCGTGCTTAATAAACGGCTCGACGCCAATTACCGTTGCTATAAACCGGCATTTCTTTCTTTGTTGTGTTCGGCAAGATAGTGTTACCTGTGTTGAACCGTCACAATTTTTTAACTTTATGTTGCTATAATTTTTTTTAAATGTATAGTTCAATACTACTTTTTTATGATAAATTATATATATATATATATATATATATATATATATGAATATACCTCTTTCATTCGACATACTTTTTTTTTTTAATGGGACCATTTCCTTTTATACAAGGGGAGTTCAAACCTATGCATATAGAAAGTAGAACTTTTTTAACTTAACTATTGAAAGTATTCCGAAAATTCTGATACTCTTATATATATATATATCTTAAATTAACTTTATAATGCTATAACTTATTGAAAAGTGTATGGATCAATACAGTTTTTTGATGAGAAATAATATTTATATCTCTTTCATTCGACATACTTTATCTTAATCATGATATAAATAATGAAATAACAGATTCTGTAGCATTTGGAATAATCTACCAATTTTAGCTTCGATGCGAAGCGGAGAAGGTATGAATTTTACTATGATATGTTTTTTTAGTCTGTTGCCACTTTTTCTCAGTTCTCACTGGACCGATTTCTTTCAAAAATACGTCAAAAGATCACAAATCGTATTTAGTTGGAGACATTACCCTTAAAAATTGAAAAAAATTCCCTCGTTCCCCGCAAATGAGGAAAATATCCAAAAAAACTACAAATTTAAAAATCGCTAATTTTCGAGATTTTTTCATTTTTTTTTTTTAAACTGCCATAACTTGTTCAAAAATGAACAAATTAATATAATTTTTTTTTTATAGATCTTTGATATCATAAATAATATTTTTTTGTACTAAAACCTTAGATATTTCCCTTTCATTTGATATCATTTTTTTTGAAAATCTAACACTTATTCTGCTCACAGGAGGGATTTAAAATAGCTACTTTTTTACAAAAACTAACTTTTTCAATATAATTTTTGAAAATGTTCCGGAAATACTGCGTTCTTTAAACATATATCACATTAAAGCTTATTTCATGCAAANTTTTACAAAAACTAACTTTTTCAACATAATTTTTGAAAATGTTCCGGAAATACTGCGTTCTTTAAACATATATCACATTAAAGCTTATTTCATGCAAAACAAAATGAAAAAAAAAATTTGTCCCGACACTTTATCTTCTGCATGTAAACGGCTGCCGTAGTTAAAAAAACGCTATTTTTGTGTTAAAATTTTCGATTTTTGATTTTAAATTTTCAACTTAAGAATGCTATAACTTTTTGAAAAATGTATATATCAGCACAATTTTTTTCTTCTAAATACATTATAAGTACATCTTTCATTTGACATATTTTTTATTAAAATTGAACAATTTCCCCTTATATATGGAGCGTTCAAAACTTTAAATATTGTAAAAAACATAGATCTTTCAACGNCATATTTTTTATTAAAATTGAACAATTTCCCCTTATATATGGAGCGTTCAAAACTTTAAATATTGTAAAAAACATAGATCTTTTTCAACGGAACTTTTGAAAATGTTCTGGAAATACTGCGTCCTTTAAACATATATCAAATCAAAGGTTATGTTATATACTATAAAATGAAAAAAAAAATTTGTTGTGACGACCTATCTTCTATACGCAAATGGCTACCGTATTCAAAAATATGCTATTTTAACAAATTTTTTTTTTAAATTAATAACTATCTAAAGATTTGTATCGAAGCGTTTTTTATGATATATATTTATATATTAACATTCAGTTTTATATTCTATTGGTTTGGTTGAGTTGGGTAAACCCAACCAAACTTATAATACTTGCATCATTGAACATCATGCATAATGGACAAAAAAATATTTTAAGTGAATACCAATTGTTCGCGCTCGTTATCAGGCTATTAAGAGATATTCATAATAATGATGGTCTCCGACCAATATATGAAGTAGTTATGTTCGATCTACGTACGCGCGCGGACAAATCGTCAGCTTACAAGTAAATTATAATAAAAAGATACAGTCCACTATTTTTAATATTCGTATTTATCAATTATTTATTTATTTATTATACATATTGAACTAGTTCGCAATACCAATAATACTATATTATTCTTATAATAGTGTAAAAATTTGAATTATAGTACATTTCAAAGTGTAGCAAATAAGCATTGTGGTAAATACTTTATTTTAATCGTTAAAAAAAAATGCTTAGTGTCCAAGTATTCATAAACAAAATAATAAATCATATATATTTATTATTATAATACAGTAAATACATTAAAAGAATCATTTACCTTAAGAATATATATCATAAAAAAAATATCTAGCATTATAGTTAAAAATATACTGAAATGTTGCAGAAAATGTTTAATTCAAATAATTTATTATTATTATTAATTTATTTATTATTATTTATAATACCTATAATGTCAGTTAACATGAACTGTATACTTGAAATATATCCTTAATATTTATCTACAGCTATTCTTTTATTCAAATAATATATTTGAATACTTATAAATTATTTAAAGATCAATATATAAAATGCTAAAAGGTGAAAAATCTTATCATAAATAAATATCATGATATTATTCAAATGTAGTATATAGGCATTGCAATTAATTTTTTATTTAGATTGATAAAAAAACGGTAGCAAATTATGGAAGTGGCATAGTTAGGAAAAGTATAGATGATATCTGACAGTGATTAAAATCACTATCATAAGAAACGCTTCGATGCAAATCTCTATATAGTGTTTAATTTTAAGAAATTGGTAGATTATTTCAAAAGCAACAATAACTATTATTCCTTTAATTTTATCCTGATTAGTTATTTGATTTATTATTATAATACATGAATAAATAATAATTATAGTAATTAATTTAGTATGAAATAGATATTTAAAAAA